ACAGTTCAAATAAATAGGTGAAATGTCAGCAATGCAAGGGCGGGGGTCAATCAGCAGAGTATTATCATTCTTAAGACAAACTTTCCAATGTAGCAAATCACTCATTCTTAGCCCGTAAATATTTATTTTCCATGATCTGTACCCAGTATTCTGTCATTCCCAAGTATCCAATGCATTTGAATGACAGCATTTAGCTTAGCTCATCGGTCTCACGTGGCATGTAGCAGCAAAGAGAATCAGCAACAGTAACATTTCGAGGCAACAATATGCGCTGGTTAGTTTTCATAGAAGTTTTATCAAGTGTTCATCATCTATACACATGACCACTTCTGACAACTGAGCAGTGTTGTTGAAGCCGACATATAATCGAGCCCGTAACATTTTATTCGCGTGTAAAGCTATCTGATGGAGTTATTTACTATTAGTGTGACTTTTACTTTATTATGCGGTAACGTTTAGCATTGTTGCTGTGCAGCGATAAAACAACGAAGTTATTTGGGTTCTATCTAACAAAAGCATAATACTGATACCAGATTAAAGTTTGTCATCCAAAAGGGGCCAGTTATACTAAGTTAGGTGTGCCATACACTTAGAAATTCAAGACCTGTTCCGGATTTATGAGGTAAGCGAATTTCCAGAATTCAAACTAAATCATTGGAGCAAAATGATAGGCGTCACTTCGATCTTTATCAGGCATGTAATCGGCAACAATTCGCAGCGGCTGCACTACGCCCGCTATATCTCAAGGCTTAGAGACTTTCCCTTAAACCGACGCCTTACCGGTTGTCGATATAACATTTCCATAATCATGTTGGACGACTTAGTGACACTTCGCCCCGCAGCGATACCACTCAACGACCAGTGTCGACATCAAACGATGGAAAATATTCAAAAAATACATGTATTTATTAATTTAGTTTAAGATCAGTACTTAAATCCCCGTATATTCCCTGTAGGATGAACATTTATTAGAGAAAAGTATTACTGGCATAAAGGGTAAGTTCATGTCATTGAATCTTTGGTGAAGAAAAGTCCCAAGACAAGATGCCAAATTGAACCTCACTAGCTGTAAGTTATTTATTCGATAATTTATGACAAGACTTTAACTGCAAATGCCATTTTTTAAGTTCTACGATAAGAATGTTTGCATAGATTCGTCAAAAGTTTGCGGCCTTAGCTCAGAGATTTGGTGACTCCTTACTACTGTAAAACGGATTCGCACGTTGTACTTTGCAATGCTTGCTTATGTCACGAGACAACGTCAATGATTAATACTTTTAAAAGCTGTGTAGTTGTTCCGCTTGGTTTTCTGCGTTATGTTTTCACGTTTGAGATTTCGGCAGCGGCTACGAATCCCCGTTGCCAAGAGTGACAAATCAGTTTTTTGTCGAGTTGGACATTAGTTTCATTGTTTGGCATTCTTAATCCCCTTACCATATGCTCGTGATTTCAGTAGTTAGCGTGTGATTAGTTAGCTGTTTCCGTGACTTCAGAACAGTTTCTGTCGTTTGTTTTGCTAACAGCACCCGCCGTGAAGGTCCTATGACTTAAAGGATGTAACATTTTTTAATTCATTTCTATTCGCTGGAATTTGCGGCGGTAACAATTGATCGGTTGCTTTTGATTTTTTCCCATTTCACCTGATTGCATGCGTTCCAAAGAAATTATTGTTTAGAGTCATTAACGGATAAGCTTTGAAAATTATCCAGCCCATGGACGGTATATCACTGATTCCCGATGTTATTTTTTCTCACGTTCGATTGCTTTTCCCTTTTCTTGTATTATGCTACCCGCACGTCGCAGCTACACCTGGCACTGATTCTTCTCACAGCTGCAGTTACATTCGCCATTAGATTAGTGTTTTCTTGCCAGTCTCGAAAATGCTTTCGGAAGTGTTTATTCTCACTTATTTTGACAAACCTTTTCATCGACGTCACAAACTTAATGAGCTTCACCAGCTTTGAAATGGAGGCGGACTGTTTGCTTTTTGTCCTCTGTGCAAAATATTTCGTTTCGATAAGCCATTTGTTTGTGCGGGAAGGGGTTTGGTTATACGACAACATTTGTGTTGACGATGGTGTATAAATTGAACTGTCTTCATTAAATGTCCCTTTTATTTGACTGTAAGTGGCAGCGGAATATCAAGTAGCACCTACATCACTATGAAGTACTTTTATTAACTCAGGTCTGTGTAGAATTACGTTTGTTGTTGGTGTTTGTTGCTACGATTGTTTCTTTTACGTACGTGCTTGGCAAACCCAGACGTTGCTCTTGCTGATTCACGGGGCACTCTTGTTTTAATAGTATGTGTAACAGCGATGCTAATTGCATGCGAAACTTTTATAGTCTTTTTTGGTATTGATAACGTCCGCTTTCTGTAAGAAAACAACTCCCTTCAATCCTGAAACTTTTTGAGTTCAACTTTTCTTGCAGTTCCGTTTGTCTGATTAAACTTAAATGTCCAAGCTCGTAGCAACAAGTCCATGCATCACTGCCGTTTTCTTCGATTCACTTAATAATTAATTAGTAATTCGATTAGTAAGCCCTACTCATGACTTCGTTTCTGTAGTATCTAAAAGTTTTTGTTTATTTTTAAGTAAGTGCATTCTATCAGTAAAAAAAGTTTCCAGTTTTGTAGTTGTGCGCGTAAAAAAAGTTTTGGAAACGATCTGACATTTGTATGAGGAACGAAGACCCTAATGACGCGTTCTTTGCCTGCTTTTAAAAGTCGTGAACAGTTTCTCAAGGTACTAAGGAAGAAAATGGTTTGCTACTGATTATTGGGATTTTATTAGTATTAGCATCAGAAAAGTGGCTTATGTTAAGAAATTGTTTTGTAATTCATTTTTTAAAATCATTTCATAAATTTCCATTGATTTCTGGTGCAACAACGAATCGTTCCATTCTAAGCTATTTTTTGGTTGAGCGGCTGTTTGTGTTTGGTAGTTCATTTCCCCGGTCATTTTATAATTTCGTGCTGGAAATATTTCTGTAGTACAGATTGAAATTCTGCCAGAGAAGAAAGAGAAATAGCCGGTACTTGCTCCAAAGATAAGCCGAAAACTCCCGGGAGAGCGAAGAATGACCTAGGACAAGTATCTCGACAAATTCTGCTGCAGGCTGGTTTACCATATGTCGATACTCTGATGGCCGTAAAGCGGGATCGGAGATATTGTCATGCTGGTCGGCCTTCACGACCCAAAAGGTTTAAGCGATGATTGAAATTGACCAATTGTCTAAAGTTTAGAAGCACTAAGAGCAGGAGTGTATCGAAACATAATATTCTTAAACAGTATTCACAATTGTCCTATATTCAAACAGTTGATGTGGAGCGGTCGGTCAAGACTACTTCCCTTACGAAGTGTGTTGGCATAGTGTCAGAGGTCTGCTTCAAACTTCGGAGGTGCTGTTTTGATTCTGCGCTATGTCAGTCTTTTTCTTATTCAGTCTAATTTTCCTTGAGCAAGGAATTTACCACAAATTGTTTCAGACCCTGAATCCAAGCTCTGGGCGGAGTCGCTCCCTCTTCTTTCTTCCGAGTTTGATTAATGGAAGGAAGCAGGAGAGTACACTTTACGCTTGCCACATGCCTGTAGACTGCCATAAAAAATAGTACTTCTGGTTGATGATAGAAATGATCAACACCGCATCATAAACTTTACAAAAAGAAGGCTCAAACCTGGCCGAACTGTGGAAATAAAAGAAGACCGATATTCTAGCGGTGATAAGCTTCCTTTTTCCTTTCTGTTAAATGGTTTCACCCAGTGCTGCAAATTTAACCTTTCTGTTTCGATTGGTATTGCAAATTTTTTGGTGAATTTTGGCAATCATTCGAACTGTATGCGATCCGCTTGCTTTCATTGTCAAATGGATCGTGTCGTTTTGATAAAAAAAATTTCTTTGGCGGTGTAGGATGACATAACTCTGAGAGAAATGTAATATATAGAATTACAATAATTTTTAAACTGCGGTTTCGAACGGATATTTAAAATTTAGCCCTGTGATACTCGCTTTTAAGCGATCAGGAAATTGCGGCTAAGAAAGCATAAAACGTGTATCACTCTTTGGTCGTCTGATTGAATAGCAGTTTTTATACTTCTTGCCGTTGTTTACAGAGTCTTGTTGTTTTCTGACGTTGATGACCTATTAATCAATATTTGATAACCTGTTGTTTCGTTGACCCTTTGACCATGAACTGTAAAACCTGTCGCTGAACTGAAACGATGCTTATTAGTAATAAGATCAGTAGACGTAAATATTTATGTTCGAAACGTTTCTACTAGTTCTGTAGTGTTGTTGATAACAGTGGAGGTTTCATACTAGCCATAATCACGCATAAAAGATTGTAATTGTTCATTCGAGATAGACGTCATTTTATTGGTTTTCAGATATCCGTTAAAGAGCGAATAAATCGTAAGTTTTTCTTAACAACAGGTTCTGTTGAGCGAGGAGCTATTCTGCCTTCTTCACCACAATGTGCAGTAAAGGTTTTGCATCAGGTCGTTTTCAGCTGGGTTTTCAAGACAATTGATATTAGGATGACTGCATGTTGTAAAGTGTGAAATGTAAACCTTAAAGTAAAGCTTAAGATATCGAGTGAATCTGCCGCTTTCTTTAGTCTTAAGAATCGTTTGTTATATTCTGGTTTTGTTTGCTCCATCAGTAAGTGCTGCTCAGTGACGTTTTCGAATTAGGCAAACATGGGGTCACCATCCATTTTAATTTCCTGAGAAATCGTGAGCAGATTTTTTAATCATGCGTTATCTACCATCTAAATACGGTATGATGATTAGGATGCTGTACTGGAAGACGATAGAAAGCATTTACGATTAAATAACTCGGAAAATGGCGTAAGTATATTTTCACAAATTATGCGTCATGCAGTCATTCCTTTATACGTTGGAAAAGGTGTATCATGGCTGTGTGATGTGTTATTGTTTCCCCTCGCAATTCCACTGCACCCTTTGTCTTAATCTATAATCATATCTTTGTAACTCTAGCTTTCGTCTAACAACATGGCCGCAATAAGAAAAAAGTTGGTGATTGTTGGCGACGGAGCATGCGGCAAAACTTGCCTTCTGATAGTATTTAGTAAAGATCAGTTTCCGGATGTTTACGTTCCGACTGTTTTTGAAAACTACGTTGCTGACATTGAAGTCGATGGAAAACAGGTATTTAAAAGTTTTACTATATTTATCTATAATAAACTGCTCTTTCTGTCTGTTTCTCTGTCCTATACGTGATAATTAATATATCAGTGCGTTCTTTGTTTCAAACCGTTAAG